TATGTCCAACTCTAAGCCTTTGTTGTCTTATATTCTTTATTTTTTCAAATTATAAAACTTCCCTGGGGAAGGTAGAAAGCTGAAGTACAATACAAAAGATTTTTAGGAATACCTACACAACATCTCATCTCATGGATAATCAATGCTATCAAACGGGGATTTCAACATATTGACCCTACATTGTACATATAGCATGTTTACACAATAAATGTGTCCTAAAATATTTATGAATGGTGTTATTTTAATTAAAATGTACCAAACCTAATGCCTACATAATTCATACAAGATATCTATAATTTGCTCATTTGGCAAAACAATTTACCGTATACACTACATGTGTTCAGTCTATACAGCGACTATTGCATAATATAACGTAAACAAATCCTGACATTGCGGACTAACATCCGATTAGGTAATTACGACAAAACCAGATGAAAAAATATCTACATACATTATAAAATCAAGATATCAAGGAGAGGGGAATAAACTTACTCTGTAGGGGCTTATATTTTTCTTTGAGACTAATGTAAATCTCCAAGTCTGCCGTGCAGACGCCATATTTTCTTCTAACTCCCAGAGCATTCTGGGAAATAACGAAAGTGAAATTAACTCTATAACAAGAAACATAAAAGAATGGAGAATTAGGTAATTACGACAAAAACAGATGAAAAAATATCTACATACATTATAAAATCAAGATATCAAGGAGAGGGGAATAAACAAGGGGAAATCCACAGGTATTCTGGTAAAAGCAACAGATATAACATCCTGTTTAGGGCCTAAAACACTTCTAGTTTATGTGTAGTCTATTTCTCGTGAACTTCTTGTTTGAACCGTGTGCACTTCAGGTGAACTTGGTGTAAAAATCAGTCTACACTCAACTGTACTACTGACTCCAGTAGGAAAAAATGACAAATGCTATAATCTTGATTCGTCGCTCTTTAATGCGCAAAATATTATTCAATTTTGGACCAGAACAAAACGTTTCAGTTAGTATTTGGTAAGTGTAAGTTTGGCTTTTGTGGCTCAGAGAATGGTTAGAATTAAGCACTGGTCAGTGAAAATGTTTCAAATATGAATGATACAAAAACTGGAAAAATCTTTACTAATTTACAGCTGTATTGTAGACTTGTTGCGACAAATCATATTGATGTCTTGTCAGTGCTAATTCTTTATTGAAAGTCCTTTTTCAGTGTCAAGAATTTCGTTGTTTCCACTCAACTCTGGTTAGCTATAACCAAGCTCTGAGAATCAGGGACCGGATGTCAAACAAGAGTCAAGTCGGCCGTTTAAGACCGAGAGGTTCATGTAATAACAGCCAACTATATAATAAATGCTGAACAAGTGCAAAAATATAACCAAGTGCCAACTTGTTAACAAAATCAAAGAAACATTGGTGCAATATGAACAATAGAAACATGATAACGTATACCAATGGAACACGCAGTTGTGGTAGGGCAAGCGTCCTCTCCTTCGTCAACACCTGTCATGCCAATCCTGGCCACAATAAGTAAATAATGAAAAGAAATAGTGAATACAATGTAAAATCTATACCATTTCATTTCTCTGTAGTGATATATTGTCAATCTATACCATGTCATTTTTCTGTAGTGATATACTGTCAATCTATACCATGTCATTTCTCTGTAGTGATATACTGTCAATCTATACCATGTCATTTCTCTGTAGTGATACACTGTCAATCTATATCATGTCATTTCTCTGTAGTATACTGTCAATCTATACCATGTCATTTCTCTGTAGTGATATACTGTCAATCTATACCATGTCATTTCTCTGTAGTGATACACTGTCAATCTATATCATGTCATTTCTCTGTAGTATACAGTCAATCTATACCATGTCATTTCTCTATAGTATACTGTCAATCTATACCATGTCATTTGTCTGTAGTATACTGTCAATCTATACCATGTCATTTCTCTGTAGTATACTTTCAATCGAATACCATGTCATTTCTCTGTAGTGATATACTGTCAATCTATACCATGTCATTTCTCTGTAGTGATACACTGTCAATCTATACCATGTCATTTCTCTGTAGTGATACACTGTCAATCTATACCATGTCATTTCTCTGTAGTGATATACTGTCAATCTATACCATGTCATTTCTCTGTAGTATACAGTCAATCTATACCATGTCATTTCTCTGTAGTGATATACTGTCAATCTATACCATGTCATTTCTCTGTAGTGATATACTGTCAATCTATACCATGTCATTTCTCTGTAGTGATACACTGTCAATCTATACCATGTCATTTCTCTGTAGTGATATACTGTCGATCTATACCATGTCATTTCTCTGTAGTATACTGTCAATCGAATACCATGTCATTTCTCTGTAGTGATATACTGTCAATCTATACCATGTCATTTCTCTGTAGTGATATACTGTCAATCTATACCATGTCATTTCTCTGTAGTGATATACTGTCAATCTATACCATGTCATTTCTCTGTAGTATACTGTCAATCTATACCATGTCATTTGTCTGTAGTATACTGTCAATCTATACCATGTCATTTCTCTGTAGTGATATACTGTCAATCTATACCATGTCATTTCTCTGTAGTGATATACTGTCAATCTATACCATGTCACCATGTCATTTCTCTGTAGTGATATACTGTCAATCTATACCATGTCATTTGTCTGTAGTGATACACTGTCGATCTATACCATGTCATTTCTCTGTAGTATACTGTCAATCGAATACCATGTCATTTCTCTGTAGTGATATACTGTCGATCTATACCATGTCATTTCTCTGTAGTGATATACTGTCAATCTATACCATGTCATTTCTCTGTAGTGATATACTGTCAATCTATACCATGTCATTTCTCTGTAGTATACTGTCAATCTATACCATGTCATTTCTCTGTAGTGATATACTGTCAATCTATACCATGGCATTTCTCTGTAGTGATATACTGTCAATCTATACCATGTCATTTCTCTGTAGTATACAGTCAATCTATACCATGGCATTTCTCTGTAGTGATATACTGTCAATCTATACCATGTCATTTCTCTGTAGTGATACACTGTCAATCTATATCATGTCATTTCTCTGTAGTATACAGTCAATCTATACCATGTCATTTCTCTGTAGTGATACACTGTCAATCTATATCATGTCATTTGTCTGTAGTGATATACTGTCAATCAATACCATGTCATTTCTCTATAGTATACTGTCAATCTATACCATGTCATTTGTCTGTAGTATACTTTCAATCGAATACCATGTCATTTCTCTGTAGTGATATACTGTCAATCTATACCATGGCATTTCTCTGTAGTGATATACTGTCGATCTATACCATGTCATTTCTCTGTAGTATACTTTCAATCGAATACCATGTCATTTCTCTGTAGTGATATACTGTCAATCTATACCATGTCATTTCTCTGTAGTGATATACTGTCGATCTATACCATGTCATTTGTCTGTAGTGATATACTGTCAATCTATACCATGTCATTTCTCTGTAGTATACAGTCAATCTATATCATGTCATTTGTCTGTAGTGTTACACTGTCAATATATACCATGTCATTTCTCTGTAATGATACACTGTCGATCTATACCATGTCATTTGTCTACATTGATTTATCAATGTACTACCAAGGATTACGACTACATTTATATGCAGTGACATACTATTCATCACATATCATCTGTTTATCTATTTTGAATATTTCTATATACAATGTTTATGTAGTTTCATTTTGAAATTTTGATTGAAAATACTTATGGACATTAAAAGGGGTCCCTAAATAGATACTTTACTACTTTTAACACTAAATAATTAGCTTGAAATGCAGCTTCTGTCCGTTCAAATGTTGATTTCATTGCAGCACTATTTACAAAATCATTCAAGACATCATATACAACTCATATAATGTCTAAATTGGTCCAAATGACAATGACACACTATTTTTATTAAGTAATATTCAGAAACAGAGTCTTGAAATTATGCAAAAAATGTCACTAAATTATGCGTTTGTTTAAGGCTATTTTGAATAGAACACGGCGTTTTGAAATTTGATTCAGTATCTCATGATTATATTGTTGCAAATTGCGTGTAGCATGCAACGCTTAGCAGAGACAGTAAAACATATATTTGCATCGGCATGGTTACCTTTTACAGTCGCTAATTCCCAAACAAAGCATAATTATCCTTAATTATTTAATGATCAAGAGTGTTCTTTATTTGCAATATCAATATCATTGTAGGGGAAAACGCCATTATTTCATTCAAGAAAACATCTGCTATAGACAAAAAAGAAACGAAACAAAATTCTTTTAAAAGAGAGGACAACAAAAACAAAAACAAAACAAATACATATCTTTATAGATTGACATATATCACATTTACGGATTTTTCATTTACAAAACATACATATGGAATGTAATTCATACCAAATAATTAGTTATCATTTGATATATATATATCTAATTGTAAATACTTTTGTGGAAAGCAATCGGCAGCATGTAAGATATATTGTGATGAGAACTGTATACCAGCACACATTATATAACGATATAATGACGCTGACGAGATAAAGAGTCGGCCTTTTTTATTTACATAATATTCGAAAACATATATGGTTTGTTCTACGTGACTTAACGTCCCCGCAACAGCCCTGGTCATCTTAGGACGGATATCAGACACCAAGCAATAAACTAAACCACATAAATAATGATACCAAATGATCCCTCACTTGTTAAATTACCACTCTGTTACTGCTATACACACAGTTGTTAGATAATTACTTTCACTATTGTACACATAATTGTTAGATAATTACTTTCACTTTTGTACACATAATTGTTAGATAATTACTTTCACTTTTGTACACACAATTGTTCGATAACTATTCTCTTTCTGTAGTAAGATTGCCTTATGCACAATAGTTTTTTACAATATTTTAACCAAAATATGATTGGAATTATGTTCATACGCTAGCCTCGTCGTTTGCAATATCTATAGTACGAACAATTCTTATTTCTCCACCATCTCAGTTCTCCCGTGGTCCATCTCGTGATGTTGCTTTTATTCTTTTTCTTTCTGTGTTTCCCTCTTTTTCTTTTTTTCCCTTTTTTTCTCCATCTGCATTTTGGTCTTCTGTGGTTCCTTGTTGAATCTTTTCTGTCTGTAGATTCGTTTGTGCTACCCAAGCTATGTGTATCTAAACGTGGGTATGTTTCATTTTCGCTAAATCTCTTACGCTGTTTGTTGTAGATTGGTACGAACATTTTTCCTGTGCCACAGTGACTTTGCTTATCTGTTTCACTCATGTATTTACATACACACGCAACACTAACAGGCTCCACAGTAGGCACAAATTTTCCTCTGTATTGCCGCAACACTGGCACGTTGATGAAGTGCTCGATACAGCAACCTTCAGCACATTTTCGACACCGACACACAACAACATGTATTATGTGTGGTTTTCTTTTCTGGTCATAACCCATCTTAGTAAACCAAGGACAAGTTGATGACTCTTTCAATTCGGAGCCGATATGTACATGTGATGGTTCACAGTCGTTCGTCCCATCATTTCCGGCGTAGGAAATGTTTTCGCGGTCCTTTTTGAATAAATCTGGATCTTTGAAACCCATTAAAGTCGGGTCTACGTTTGAAAACATAGGGTTTTCAGCGTCAGAAAACAGAGCATGATATGCCTTTAAATTTTTTGTGAGTTTGGTGACTTGGAAGTCGCTGTATCCATGAACAATGACGTCACATGAGAACAGCATTTCAATAATCTACAATACAGAAAAATATCAGTTTAATTCATACAAAGCGTTTGACATGTCTTTGTTTGCAATCTATAAAATACAAGGCAATAACATTGTATCTGAGACTGATTATCACGTAATTACAAATCGCCTGTGATAACCAAATTTTGTATTAGTCTGAAGTTCTGATCATTTTTTATTGTATTTCTTTATTTATTTGGCGCAAGTCATGCATTTACTTACTTTTGGTTTCATCGTTGTAAATATTAGATAAAAAATATTGGGAAGTCTTTAAAGGAATTCTTTAATTCTATATTACACAGAATTTTAAAGCGTGTCCAATGATAGTATGATATATATATATAAACTCAATAGAGTATTATTCCATTCCCTTGTGACAGCAGATGACATTCGTTTCGATCAGAGCCATTTTAATCATGTTATGACGCCACAAGAATGCTGTTTCAGGCCTACACAAATGGTGATTGCTGTATATAGCTTTCACTCAAATGAGCATTGCTATTTTCATGTTATTTACATTTTCTATTTCGACTTACCAACAAAACTGATATTTATACTTCAATAAACCTAAAGTCTGGCTCGGAGGAAACCGGATCGCTGTACACTTGCGTTAGAATTATTGCGTTCTAATTTTTTGTGGATTTGTTTTGTATAAACTAGAAAATTCAAAGCATTTTGTGAACGGAAATGTAAATATTTAAAACACAAAATATGATAAAAATAGAATGTTGCTGTGGAATTTTTTTTCTGTTTACTTCCTGTACTTGACAAACTTTTCTGCGAATTTGGAATCAGCCGTTTTGCTGTTCCATCAGTTGTCGTGCTGTTCCGTCAGTTGTCGTGCTGCTCCGTCAGTTGTAAGCTGTTCCGTCAGTTGTCGTGCTGTTCTGTCAGTGCGTATAACGTCCAATGAACGATATTTTTTTTTATTTTTAAGAAGCATGAATGAAGAAACAAATGTTTTCAAAAAGGAAATATAAGAAAACAAATGGGTTTTTATTGTTTACTGGTGATTAAACTGCATTTTAACAGATATTTGCGCGCGTCAATTATAAAATCTATAAAAAGGTACAGTTTACACACCAGTAAACAACAAAAAAGAAAAATGATATCTTAAGCTTATGTTTTTTCTCGATGCGTTATAATGGGAATATACGGTAAGTGGTAAATTGGCAATCTAAATAGTAATTTCATAAATTGTACATTATTAGTTTGGTAACGCTTTAGAATAATATGGAATGGAAAAACAACGATGTTTTGATATTCAAAATCAAATGATTATATATATGTATAGTATGATATATTATTAGCCTCCGACTAATTAGACGTTCATCTCACTGCATTTTGTATAATCCTTCGATATAGGTGTTTGTTCATACATTTGACATTGAAAACCGGGCATTACATTTAACTTCTGACGCGTCATGGGTTAAGAACATTTAAAGTTCTCAGCACGTATCGTTACCAATTATAATTACATCTAACACACACCCCTGTCGTATCTTAGATGAAGTTTCTAACTATGGAGGGGCAAAGTGACAAACAGGTTGGAGAGTGATTGGCTTTCATTATGGGAAATGACCTCCGTCTCAGTTTTCTTCTTCTGTGTGAAGTAATTAATGTATAGAAGAAAACGTTTAGAAGATGACCCTGTTCAGTTCTAGTCTGGAGTTAGAAAACTGCTACATTTCATGAGTGAGTAGAAGCATCTGGCCTTTCGGTTTGATACATATACGGTAAATTTCATGTGCATAATTAGTTCAAAGAGTGTTTTCGAATGACGTGAGGCAATCGAGGGTTATCATCATTGGAGCCTGGCCAGCTTAGTACAACTACAACCCAGATTATTTACCATTTTAGTGACCTTTACTCTGTGATGGTACCTGGATTTATCATCAGGATTCAGAGAGTAAACAGGAATTGACGAATTGGTAACATTCCCACATCCAAAGACAAAGAAATCCAAAGCCACCAGGTCCACTGAGGGGGTTATCATGATTTGGGACATTACAACAGCTGTTTATATCGACTATTTGCTTCTCGAAACTACAGAAGCAGGTATGCCTATCAAGCCAGGAAATGAAGCAGCGAAATCTATCCATCAGAGACTGTTTCAACATGAGACTGGGCCAGTCCACCATAGCTTAGTTTCGATGGAAGCTATGCACGCGTGTGGCTATGAATTCTTCCCTCGCTTACCTATTCTCCATATCTAGCTCCTTTCGGCATTTACCTCTTTTCTAGCCTGAAATACACAATCGAGGCCGGAGAATTGAGGACCATTGTAAGTTGAGTGCTGGTTATATGGACCACGATAGGGAGTTCTACAAATCTAGAACCAATGACTTTTTGCGACCTAGATGGAACATGTTTGTGCAGTTGAAAAGGGAAAAATTAAATAACGAAGTATAAATCCATTTACCTTGCTCTCTCAATGAGAAGCTCAAAATAGTATATACCCTCAAACATAAGTAAATATTTGCTTATGATATGAAGTATTGACCAACAGGCAATGATGGACATGTTCTTTTGACTTATAATATTCTAGTTTCAAATTGAAATTAAATGACCACAGTAATTAAAAATACATGTTTTAGCTAATAACGTATCCAAATACAAGAATAAATATATAAGCATGCACTTTTATGATAGAGGATTATACATAATGTATTTATCTCAATTTTCTTTTCTACTACAAAATTACCAGAACATAAGAATCTGTCCGTATGACGATGTAAGTTAGCGGGTTGTCTATTTTATCACTCTTCCTGATTAGATATCAGTGTCGATTTTGATAGGGAGTATCATTATTGGGTTAATTTCAAGACTCGAACTCCAGTTGTTGTGGTTATCATTATATAAACAAAGTAACATCAAGTACAACATGTAATGCGAAAATAGAAGCTCTGCTATCGCAAGAAAACGCGATGTAAGCAGAGACACATTTGTAATATTCTACAGGAGTAACCAGCTAAAACAAAACAACTCTTGTGTCGAATATGCATTTAAAGTGATTAACCTAGCCCACCAGACTCATGGAGATATGAATCATGCATTTGTTTAATGCTCTTTAGTTTGCCTGTTGGTTCAGTTGTTGTATAACTTGCTCTCATTTGAGAGCGTGACATTACTTACTTGGATTGACCAAATTTAACATGGCGGGTGTCGTCGATGAAGAAGATATGCTTACTCTTTCGGAACACCTGGTCTTATTCTCCCTGCACCTTGTAGGAATCTCCGTGTAAATCTTTCTTTTGTTTATATTTTGCAATAGTTTTATTGAATTTGAGTTTGGATTAGGATTATGTTGCCATGTTGGTATTTTCTTGATTTTTTTACGTCTTTAGTCTTGTAATGCTCCTGCAAAATCAGGTTATGCATTTAAAACGACAATTAATTTTCATTTATATTGTTAAGACAAATTGTAAACGTTCAATGTTTATTTGTCTATTAATCAGCATTGACTCATTATTCGAGTCAAACAAAACAAAAAAATCTAGATGCTTACATTTCGATGTAGGTGTTATCTGTATACCCATAGAACAAATGTAAATAAAAAAAAGATAAACATTTACCGGAGTAAGAATCAATCATTACAACATTGTTCAAAGGAAAAAAATGAATTATGAAGATAATGATTTCAAACTAAAACTTTACACAAAAAAAATGTTATGCACTTTAAAATGAACTTTTCAATACTGCTACGTGTTAGATAATGTTTCGGTGTTTAAAACGACAAGTTAATATTGTTTATATGATTATTGATCATTCGTCCAGGGACAGAGAAACTTATGCTGCATTTTTAAAATCTGCACTAATGCCTTTTTACTATTTATAACTTTTTATATCTTTTTTATTTCTATCTTTATTTTAATTTGAGAAAAATGATTTTGAAAACGCTAATTTTTCTGATTTATTTTACTGCCAAACAAAAGTGTTTTATCTAATTCTCAATAGATATCTGTATAATGTTTGTGTGCTGAATAAATTACGTGAAAATTTATACAGAATTATCTGACGTCCAGAATTGGAAATTTTGAAATCTATTGACTGTTTGGGTTATTGCTCCTCTTGATCTGTTTTGTACAATTCATTCTACAAAGTGCATTCCTCTTTTCTATTGCCTTGCCTACGCAGTTTGAACAATTTGGGCACCTTATTCAAGTTGTTTATATAGATAAAACCAAATATAACAGATTCTTGGTTGCACTCACGTGGTGTTGTGGTTCAAATCGAACAAAACAAGACTTGATGGTTGATAGTTTGCAAGATATCATTTTTATCTATTAAAATTGCGATGCGAATGAAAGTAGGGAATATTGCTGAGAAAAAAAATCAACTCATACAAATCCGAACGTCACTAATTATGTGTGTCCTTATTGTAAATCTATAAACATAACGTGTGCACTGGATGAATATTTGATATCCTGTTTTGTAACCCTGTCATGTAGCCTTGCACCTGGCCTATTTTTTATACCCGATAAAATTTGATATCACTTAACCTTGTAAATTATTTTATATAACGACTGGAGTAATTGAACTTACGAATATATGTAAAACCGTACGTATCATCCTTTGTGGTCTGGTGTAGGAAATCTGCTCTCCTGTTACAAACGTCGCTGTAATATATCCATGTTGTTAACACTGCTCAGTCATAAATCCCAACATTTCAACACATCGAATTCATCACAGAACCGAACATACTACAATAATTTCCGAAGGAGACAATTAAACTAAACCATGAAACTGCCACGAGGCACTTGACATTCTAACGTTATGAGATCAGATTAATTCCTTCACACGCGGCCTTCTGACATGTTGGTACTGACTACCTGTACAGCGAGGACATTACAAATGATTAGGCTATTTATATCGTTTGGTAAATTGCGTATAGTTGTAAAATGCCATGCTATCCCACTCATTTAAAATGTTTATACTCTGTATATTCATGAATTTTTACTCATACAAATATTTCAAAGTCGAAAATATCATTCTTGAGACACACGTTTATTTTCAAACCCGGAAGTAGGAAAGCGTTGTTATGGTGAGAATATGTGCCGGAGTATTTAGTACATATTTGCACACGCTATATGTAGATAAGCCATTTCATCTCTTATATGTCATAACCAAGTTAATCCTTGTATATTTCCTTTCTGTTCTTTTAAGTTTTTGAAGAATAAGTCTTTAAGCTTAGGTGAAAGGTTAACTTTGAAGTTCACGACTATCACCTATAC